GTTATAACACATTTAAGACAACTTGATGCTAATATTACTTTTTACAGGAGACCCATTTGCGTAAGGCAGACAGTGCAAATTTGAGCAAGCGCTGGTCTGGTCAAGCATTTCAGTCTAACTTCCAATCTAAATCGAGAGGGGTGGCCATCTTAGTTATTGAACAGGTGCAATTTACGGCGTCCAGTGTTAAAACGGACGCTGCTGGACGTTATGTAATTGTGGTGGGAAAACTATATGCACTTCCTGTCATTTTAGTCTCGGTATATGCTCCAAATTGGGATGATCAAACATTTTTAATACGCTTTTTTCAAATGTACCTAACATTTCAACACATAATCTCATAATTGGGGGAGATGTGAACTGTATGCTATCATCCCTCGATCGTAGTACAGTGGGGAGGATCTCTGTTTCTGAATCGGCTCAGTCAATTAATTCATTTCTTAACACCTATGGAGTGCTTGACGTGTGGCGTTTTCGTAATCCGACCCTGAGACGGTATTCGTTTTTTTTCCCCTGTTCATAAGAACTATTCACGGATTGACTACTTTCTCCTCGATAAATGGATTTTACCTTTAGTGAGTGAATGTGATTATGGAGCGATAGTCATTTCTGATCATAGTCCGCTCATTATGAAACTGAACGTTCCTGTTACGCAATCGGTCAATCGTCCTTGTCGACTTAATCCGATACTTTTGTCTGACGAAGACTTAGTTGATGTGCTTGCTTCTGAAATTAAGTTTTTTATTGATGTTAATCGGACTCCTGGGATGCCACTCAGCACTGTTTGGGAGTCATTAAAAGCTTACCTGAGAGGGCAAATAATCTCTTACTGTGCAAATAAAAAGAAGAAAAGCATCGAACGGCTAAATTCACAGACAGATCAGATTTTACAATTAGACAGGGAATGCTGCCATGCTTTTACACAAGACTCACTTAAAAAACGTACATTACTACAAACAGAGTTTAACATCTTATCTACCAACAGGCTGAATATTTAATATCCAAATCTAGGTATGGCTACTATGAGCAAGGTGAGAGGGCTGGACGCCTTCTTGCACAGCAGCTACGGCWKCGCTCAGCTAAACAGGATATCTCAGCAATAAATGATAAGCATGGTGTAAAATGTTGTGAGAATGTAGTAATTAATCTGTGTTTCAGCAGATTTTACCAATCTCTGTATACCTCCGAAGCCTCACCTAACCCTACTGAATTGGATGATTTTTTTAAAGATGTTAAAATCCCTTCACTAAGTTCTGACCTATCTAACGAGTTGGAAAGAGATTTCTCTTCAGCTGAGATAAACTCTGCCATTAAAACCATGCAAAATGGAAAATCTCCAGGACCAGATGGTTTCCCGGCAGAATTCTTTAGGAAATTTTCGGATCTACTTTCTCCCCTGTTGTTATCAGTTTTTGAGTAATCCTTACCTACACAATTATTTCCACTGTCTATGCGTCAGGCAGTAATTTCCTTGCTTTTAAAGAAGGATAAAGACCACTTGAGCTGCAGTTCATATCGCCCAATATCCATCCATCCATCCATCCATTTTCTGTACACGCTTCTTCCTTTTCAGGGTCGCGTGGGTCACTGGTG